AGATTATCATTTATCAAAGATCAAAGTTTAGACATAGATTTGGGGTTTGATATTCACTTGTATCAACTCTTAGTGTTATTGTATTACTTAATAGGTTGAGAGATCATCAATTAAAAATACGCTAAAATCCACAACACCAGTTAGACTATAATGAGTTCATATACCGATGTTCAGTTCATATACTAGATTGGTTGAAAACATAAGAAAAAGGTTAATGAAATATAATTCTGACATGTTTCTTTATCCGTTAATTGCCAAAACATTTACCGTTGTTACATTTTATAGCGAATGTTTCTTTTCACAATCGAAAATCCTTTTGAACCCTTCCTTAAAATAGTATTAATTATGGAACATCGGTGATATCACACTAATCTCTGTTAGGGATTGGCGTTTAGATATTGCAAGCATAACAACATTTTGTATTATTTTGAGTAATTTTGTACTGTTATAAACTATTCTATTATCTCTCGTGTTTGTTAATTTGTTTGGTTAGCATTTAAGAACTTTGTTTTTGCGAGAAAGTTTACAGAAAGATCAACTTCTTTTTTATCCTGAGATTGAAAGAACAACTTGGAAACTCAATAGCAAAACAACAAAGAGAAAACAGCTAGTCAAGCAAAGAAACCAACGTGAAGGAACTTCTAGTTCTACTTCTTCAAGAAATCTTGTTATTGAAGAAGCCATGGCTGACCCTTCAGAAGTTGTAAGAAGTCGTGTGTCAACAACCCAAGAAGAAATGCTCATATTGTCAGACCTTCACAAAATGCGAGAAATCCATAAATGAAGACCGAATTGCTACAAATCTTGTATGAAAATCCTTTTACCAAGATTAACCATAAAGATCCATATACTCACCTTACCAAGTTCTATGAGATTATCGGTACACTTGGAGCTCCTGAAGCAGAAGAAGAACAAGTGTTCATGAGATTGTTTCCTCGTTCGTTGATGGAAAAATAAAAGTGATACCTTGATCAACCAACTTAGACTATGACAGATTGGAATGCACTTGAGGATATATTTCTTGATAGGTTCTTTCTATACAACAAATTTATGGAGGCCAAAACCAGAATTTCTGTGTTTTCTCAAGGTTCAAGCGAATCCCTTTGTGAAGCACGAGAGTGATACAAGTCAATATTGATAAGATGTCTTAACCATGGTTTTGATGATCTTACTCAAATTCACATCTTCCGCAATGGACTTCAACCGCAACCAAAACTTTTTTTTTGGATGTAACGGCAAGTGGTTCTTTAATGTCTAAGAGTGAAGAAGATGCATTAGCTATTATTGATCGAATGGCACTCAATGATCACAAAGTTCAACACAATATAGGGCATTTACAAAAGAAAGCTGGAATCATGGAATTGGGAACAAATGATGCAATTTTGACATAAAATAAATTGTTATCTCAACAAGTGGAGGAACTTACAAAGCAAATGTCAAAGCTTCTGCAACAACTCAAAGAGATACAAGGAGTCTCAAACAAAAATCAATAAGTATCATACTGTGAACTTTGCAATAGAGATCATCCCACGGGGTATTGTCCTCCGAAAAATGAAGAGGTGAATTACATGGGAAATCAAAATCAATATCAACAGAGGAAAGCACCGCATCAAAATGATTATGGTTATCAACAAAGATGGAACAATGCACAATATGGCCAAGGGTGGAGATAAGAAGCAAGACCTTCCAATAGACAAAGTCCATATCATAATTATAATCAAAATCCTCAGTCACAAGATAAAAACCCAAAGATGGAGGATACTCATAACTGGTTTATGCAAATTTTCATGGAAAATCAAAAGAGCACTGATGGAGCCATTAAGAATCTTGAAACCCAAGTTGGTCAAATAGCTAAGTAATTAACTGATCCACAAAAAGGAACTTTTCTGCAAATACTCAAGATAATCTGAAGAAACATTGTAAATCCATTCTAACTCTGAGTGGTATAGAAATTAGCAAAGACATTCGTGATGATGTTGAAGAAGAGGAAGTTTTGATAGAAAGAGAGGGAAAAAAGATGAGATTGAAGTAAAAAAATAATAAAGAGGGAGAATTAGTTGAAAATGAAAAAATTGAAAAAGATGAGTTAGAAAAGAAAAAGAGTGAGGAAAAGAAGAGAAAAACCCAAAAATCTCAAGAGGAGAAAGGGAAAATGAAGAGTTTTCTAGTACAACACCTACCTTATCCATATGCTCCTACCAAGAAAGACAATGCAAGACATTATGCAAGGTTTTTGGATATATTTAGTTGTTTGCAGATAAATATTCCATTCTCTGAAGCTCTTGAACAAATGCCAACTTATGCTAAGTTTATAAAGGACATTCTCATGAAGAAAATTGGGTACACAGATCAGGAGACCATCAATCTTGATGCTAGTTGTAGTGCCATCATTCAAAGAACTATCACACTGAAAGAAATAAACCCTGAGAGAGTTACATTACCTGTCACCAACAGATCATGGATAAAGATTTATCAAATCTTCACATATGTACACATATCATGAGTAATGTTTATATTGGAATGACCTACCACGATAATACTACAAAGAAAATTATGCAAGTTTCATAAGTTATTTTCAAGGTGATAATGATGTATATCACTCTTCAACCTGGAACCACTATAGACTTTAGATGTAGATGGTTATAAAAATGATTAGTAAGTATTCTATAAATCATGTTGAAGGACATGATTAACCTGAATGAAATTTGCACATGCTAGATAATAGAATAAATGTATAAAGGACCAATATTAAATTGAACAAGAATGACACGGTCTACACCTTGTACTTAATATAAATGAAAATACAAAAAGATAATTGTAGACACGAATACTATCATGAAAACATGTTCTATTGAAATAAACTATTTCTAGTTCAAATCAATAATGTTATATAATCAAATACATTCTCTGGTAACTATTATAAGCAAAAAGGTTATATATGTATTAGATACATCAATTGTTGAATGAACAAAAAAAGTCAAATTTGTTTAAAATAATGATCGGAGGATGTACTGTATTTTTTCTTGAAGAAGCAAAAGGATTTATATTAAAGTAAAAACACTAGCATGAGGCATGTTAGGCAAAAAGGCATGACATTACATGGAAATGTTCCAGAATATAACATGGTAATGGATCCCCACTGTTACAACTAAAGAAGCCTTACTAAAAAAAAAGACAACAAGCCAGCAACTGGTTCAAGACAAAAAAACAACATCCTGTGACAAAAAAAACAAGCAAAATCACACCATGAAACAGGCTCACATCACAAATGTCCAACCAATTCAGCGACGAAGACGACCAAAAAAGGTGAATCGGAAAAACAACCTACACGAGATAAATTTGCACCAATACAGATTACAGAAGACTTATAAACCGCTGCTGCCGACCCCATATAATATTCCACTAAGAAAAACTTCAATTGCTCCACATACGATGCGAATGGTTGACAGAAGCTGCAATAAGTTTTCGGCCAAATGCCAACCAACCCAGCAAGGTTATAATTAACAGTCGATCTCAATTTAAAACACCCTAAACGTGCTGCAAGACAAAAACAAACAACAACAGAAAACCAACAACACAAAACTGATATATAATAACCCGAACCTTGTTGCAAAACACAAACAGGAGTAGCAAACAAGAAGCAATAACCAAAATTAGATTCTTATGCTTCCAAGGCAAGCCCTTGTATTCAAGTACCACAGTGTTAGGGTTAGATTGTACTCCATGATTTTTTATTTAAATTTCAACCAATTCCACGTGTAAATTTTCACCTTCTCAACCAATTTTTCAACACTAATCTTTACTTTTGAATAATTTTTCGCTCTTTGCTCTTCATATAATCCACACACACATGAACCAAACCACTCCAACCTTATTTGAAACCTACCTCCACCAATCAATCCTTCAAACTACTTTAAGTGTAAGCAACATTCATTGTGCAAAACCATATATACATTTAGCCACATGCAAACAACATACTAGACCGATGCGAATACCGAACATTCGAAAAATAAATGAGACATCGACTCAACAATTCCACATCCTCCAACACATTGCATTAATCATTGACCAATAACACCTCTCCTAACAAAATTGTCTTTTGTAGTTAATCTGTTTTGGAAAATTCTCCAAGCTAAATACACGACTTATGAAGGTATCACTTTGTTCTACACCTTAGAGCAACGCCATCTCAATTTTTTCGAAGGCCCTATGTAGATTAGTCGTAATCTAGTCATGAAAAATCAATTATATAAGTCATATCTAACTATAATTTAACGATTATAAAATTTTTAAGAGACCCTATTTAACTATAGATTAACGATAACAAATTTAAAATTGTCCGCCATATACACCCTAAAAAATGCCCCAATCTCTTACAACAGATATTACAACAGATATAGAAGCATTAGTTATAAGAGACATGTGCGCCTTATAGGCAACTCTCATGGCATAACCGGTTCATGAGAACCTCACTCCACTATTTAGTGTGTTATGTGTTGTATGCGAAGAATTTCCTTAATTGGCTAACAAGACACTATAGAAAGAATATCACGTGGAACCGCAAAGGATGTATGAGTATGACCAGTTCTTCCATCCACTTGAAATAAGTGGTCAAATTAAGAACCATATAAATACGTTACTTATTACCACGCTATATTGCCACGTGGACAATATTACAAACACGCAAGCCGCCTTATTCCTCACTCTCTCTCCCCTTCCTCGTTCCCATTCACTTGTCAACTTGTTTGTCACAATCTTCAATTCAACCTCCAATTAATCTTTCTTTGAATTAACCCTTTCAAAATAATACATATATCTTTCTTCGAAAATACAAAATTTAACCGTCCTTTTTACTTCTCGAAAAAAAACAACAATAACAAGTTAAAAAATAACCCGCGTTATGGACCCCTTCAAACATGATAATATATACACTTCTTCTTCTTCTCGTTATTATCATTCATTCATTCATTCTTTGTGGAGAAAATTAAACCCTTGTACCTATGGGTTTCAATGTTAAAACTAATAGCTATAGCTATGGAAATGCAGGGTTGGATCCTCAATTTGCAGCTGAGAAAGCTGTCAGTGTTATTGGTCAAGGATATGATCTATGCAACGATATCAAATTCTCTGCTTGCAAGTCAAAGAGGTTGATCCAAATTCCAAATAGTAGTTCACATACCAGAGACCTTGTGTTTCCTTCTGGTGTTGTTGTCCCTAACGTTCCTTTGTCTATCAAGTCTGATAAAGGTGATTGCACCAGGTTTCGTTCTGATGTTCTTACTTTCAATCAGGTAGGTCATCACAATCACAACGTTTCTGGATTGCAATAATTTTGATTCAATTTCCTATGATTATATAGGCTTGTTCTTTTTTCAACTATTTGATTGAAATAAAATTGACTAGGAAACAGTCTCACTTAATCAGCTCAGTTGATAACTGTGCAGAGACATCATGTGTTGGGTCAAGGGTTTGAACCCAAGACATCTCACTTGTCTAGATTCTTTGTTTTTGTTATTTGAAGAGTTGAATTGAATTACTAAATATGATTCATCTTGAATATCATGATTTTTTTTTGGGATAGATTTGATATGTAGAGAAAGGCTTTAATTGATACTATTGCTGTAATTGAATTCTTTGATCACTTGTTTCCACTTGGAAATTGTTGCGAATGTTTCTTTTGTATTTGAATTTATGTATCTGAAATTGGTTTTAACAATTTGACTTTTGAAGACTGAACATGTGTTATTGGATATGATAAAAATGAGAAAGACTGAATTTTAGTGAATTTGGACTATTGTAGATGTCTGAGCATTTCAACAGACAACTATCTTTGTCCGGAAAGATTCCGTCCGGCCAATTCAACAAAATGCTTGACATGAGAAAATGTTGGTCTAGGGATGCGGCGTCAACTAAAAGCATTGCGTTTGATGGATGGTTTATAACGTTGTATACCGTTGAATTAGATAGAACCAACATTTCCCTTTCTGAAAACGTGAAAAAAGAAGTGCCTTCTTCGTGGAATCCGGCTGCTCTTGCTGAGTAAGTATAAGTATTGTTATTCTTTACTCTTTTTTTGTTAATAGTGGTAATGGAATACTGCATAACTTTGGTTCATTGAAAACTAAACAGTGTTTCAAACTAAACATGACTCTTCAGGTTCATTGAAAACTATGGTACTCATGTGGTTGTTGGGGTAAAGATGGGAGGCAAAGATGTGGTTCATATCAAGCAGTCAAAAAATTCAGATGTTCAGCCGACGGAACTGCAGAAATTGCTTAAGCAATTAGCCGATGAGAGATTTTCTGCAGATTCAAATCAAAGTTCTAATGTTAATTTTGCGGCAATATCAGGACAACCAAGGGTAATATGAATTAAATAAATATTACGCCTGTCTTAATAGAACACAAAGTTTAAAATATGGAAATGGAAATCTAAAAGGTTTTAACTTACTTAAACATATCTTCGATCGTGTTTGCAGGATGATCATGCGAAGCTGAGGGGACAGAACAGGCACAAACCTCCATTGCTTGTTGGCAGGCCAGTTGTAAAAAGTCACTCCAAGAATGACGTTAGTATTTTTTTTCCTTTCCTTTTTTGTTATGTTTTTACAAGTTTACTATATCAGGTGCACCTTGTAGCGATTTTGCATCTAATAAATCTTGAACTTACTATATGAATTTCTTTTTCAGGATATAGTAAGCATTTCAGTTCGAAGAGGAGGTATTGATTTAGGTCAACCTTATAACAAATGGCTCTCAACCATATCACAATCTCCTAATGTCATATCAATGTCTTTGGTGCCTATTACTTCACTACTGAATTCTGTTCCAGGAAATGGATTTTTAAGTCACGCGGTGAATTTGTATCTTAGATGTGAGTAAAATACCTGCAACTTAAGTTTCCCTCTGCCGAATTATTATTATTTTTCTTCTGGAGTTTTATTCTTTGTTGGTACATCTGTTTAAAAGTTTTCTGTTTCAAACAGATAAACCTCCAATAGAAGAACTTCATCAATTTCTAGAGTTTCAGTTGCCACGACAATGGGCGCCAATGTATGGTGATCTGCCTCTTGTATTCGATCATAAATATAAACGGAATGCATCTCCATCACTTCAGTTCACTCTCATGGGACCCAAACTTTATGTTAATACTGTGAAGGTAATTTTATCTTTCAAGTTCCGTTACTCTTTAATAGTCAGAAGAAGTTTAAAAACTTGCCCCCGACTTTACCTGTGCTCTAATTGCCTATGATCATTTTAAAAAGGACAAAATTTTGGATCGTACCTTCAATAATATTATGTTACAAAATTTTCAAACTTTATTTAAATGTAAGGTTTTATCGGGAAGAAGACAATTAATGTAGGGATTAGTTAGCTCTAGACAACTCATATTAGACATTTTTTCAATAAGCAGGTTGAGTCTGGAAACCGGCCTGTAACAGGTATTCGATTATACTTAGAAGGAAAGAAAAATGACCACCTATCAATCCATCTCCAGCATCTTTCAGAGGTTCCAGGTGTCCTTGAAATTTCAGAAGATCACAGTTATGATCCTATCGACGAACCTGACGACAAAGGCTACTACGAACCAGTGAAGTGGAGCATGTTTTCTCATGTCTACACAGCACCTGTACAACACAACAGCTCAAGAATGGATGAGTCCACAGCTATTGTGACAAAGGCTTGGTTTGAGGTTAAGTTAATGGGAATGAAGAAAGTTCTTTTCTTAAGGCTTGGATTCTCAAACGTCGCTACTGCGAAAATTCGCAGGTCAGAATGGGACGGTCCTTCAACCTCATCTAGAAAGTCAGGATTTTTCTCAGCATTGATGAGTTCAAAGCTTAGCAAAGAGTTGCAGTCACCTGAGAAACAAACTAAAGTTGACATAAACTCGGCAATTTATAATGAGGGTCCACCTGTGCCTACAAGGGCTCGCAAGATGCTTAGCTTTGTTGACACAAAGGAAAAGGTAAGGGGTCCAGAGGATCCACCTGGATATTGGGTTGTCACTGGTGCAAAGCTGTGTGTAGAAGATGGCAGAATCTCAATCAAGGCAAAATATTCATTGTTGACTATATTGTCAGAAGAATCCATAATGTAGAGAGAGTAAGCATTGATTTGTTAATGTTGTTTTTAGTTAGTTGTACATAACTATGTATCAATATCATATCATTTATTTATCTAAAAGAAAAGAAAGTATATTTTGTGATTGTCATATTGGCTCAAACTGAACTGAATATGACAAATTCATTGGTTTTTTAGAATCTTATATGATGTGCTGATTTTGATTTGGCCAAACTGCCTAATAAAGAATATTATATGGAATCTCCAATCAAAGTATTTTGTTTTATTTATTTATTTTGTGAAACCTTGCAGAAACTAGAACTGCTCCAACAGAAATGTTGGTTGGTATCTATAATCCAGGTGTTTTGAATAACATTTGATGGCTTGTTTCTTCCAACTATTAGCGATAGGTCCAATTAAAAGAATTCATTAGAGTACATGGTTTAATTTATGTTTACATATTGGTGGTACTGCAAACCACTGACTTTGTAATTGTAAATCTATTTTTGTACTATAATAAACAATGGATCAAAAACTGAAATATGTATAAGGGAAAATTACACTCACCTTTGAATTCTATTAAAATGTAAGCTCAAAAGATATTAATCCATATCTAGAAGGGATGTCGGTGTCTTTTTAATAGATTTTGAGGGAGGTGGATGTATTTTCCAGCTTGTATTATGATTATGATTTATGAACCTTGACTTAAAAATATAGTTGCTGAATCAGAAGTTGAGTGATGTTTGGAGGGCACCTGTTGAGACAACAGCTTAGACAAACATTTTGATGGTTCAATTTATCCAATTTTTAGAGGGTTGTTATTTACACCCTATAAAAATATTGATTCATAACAAGATTAAACAAAGTATGATTACTAAAACTAATATTGTTTTTATTAAAAATTTTCACAACATTTGATGATAAACAAATAACTATATTTTACATTTGATTGATAAACATATAACTATAATTTTCTATCGAATTTTTATGTTCCATATGAATTATAAAATATTGACAATTTCTTTTACAGATATATTGATGTTCAAATATCCAATTTTAAGACATTGAGTATTATTTTTAGAGATTTTTTAATTCCCACCAAATAAGCCAACATATCCCAGACGTGTTTGGATGGGAATGCATATCATCTTATCTGTTGCCGAAGATGACTCTGATACCAAACGTTCTCGTGTCAAAAAAGTTAATAGCTCAAAATTGTCCACGTGTCACGATGTAATTGGAAGAGCTGCCGTTACTTTTACGCAACCTCGAACCATTTCAGCTATAAATTCGAAAGCCCCGTTACGTAACATTCATATATTCATACAAACTTTCATTTCGTTGCAGAGAAGAGAAACCCCTAGCACACTGAATCAAGGTATCTTATACGTTCATCTTTTTCTCACAAAGATTTCGATAATTTGGGTTTCTGTGTTCTCTCGTTTGGATAATTATCGGATCAATTTTGACTTTGATTTTGTTTATCAGACTTCATTATTAGGGTTTCCTCTTATTTTTAATCGATTGTTGATTAGGGTTTTGTCTTATTTTTTAATCGATTGTTGAATATGTTAGATATGATTTTGATCTTATTGCTTATTTCATTTTACTTTATCGATAATCGTATCATTGCGAAGCTTTTCTTTGATTAATTGACAAATTTCTTTCACTTTTTTTTATGATCGAAGGACGTTCATATCTGTTTTTAGGGTTTCCATACTAAATTTCTCATAGCAGAAGATTATATGTCTTAGTTAGTATGCAATTTATATATGCATCAAGACTCTAGTTTTGTCTGGATTTTTGTTCTGTATATGTGTATTGTTACCCAAATTGTTTATTGATTGATTAGGGGAACTTGATGAAGTTTGTAAGATGTTTCCTGTAAATAGAAGTGGTTATATTGGTTGATTTGATTCTTCTTTTGTTTGTTACATGTCGTCTTTCTGTGTTGTAGTGATCTTTATAGATAATGTAAATAAAAATTTGTGATTGATTGATTTGTTTCTGATAAATTAGATGCAAATTTTCGTGAAGACCCTCACTGGCAAGACCATCACTCTCGAAGTTGAGAGTTCAGATACCATAGACAATGTTAAGACAAAGATTCAAGATAAGGAAGGGATCCCTCCAGACCAGCAGCGTCTCATTTTTGCTGGTAAGCAACTAGAGGATGGGCGTACCCTTGCTGATTATAACATACAGAAGGAATCAACTCTCCATTTGGTGCTCCGTCTCCGTGGTGGGATGCAAATCTTTGTGAAGACTCTCACTGGAAAGACCATCACCCTTGAGGTGGAGAGCTCTGATACCATTGACAATGTCAAGGCCAAGATCCAGGATAAAGAGGGGATTCCACCAGACCAGCAGAGGCTCATCTTTGCCGGCAAACAGCTTGAAGATGGCAGAACATTAGCAGATTACAACATCCAGAAGGAATCCACCCTCCATTTGGTACTCCGTCTCCGTGGTGGTATGCAAATCTTTGTCAAGACCCTCACAGGAAAGACCATTACCCTCGAAGTGGAGAGCTCTGACACCATTGACAATGTCAAGGCCAAGATCCAGGACAAAGAGGGCATACCACCCGACCAACAGAGGCTCATCTTTGCTGGCAAACAGCTCGAAGATGGCAGAACTTTGGCTGATTACAACATCCAGAAAGAATCCACCCTCCATCTTGTGTTGCGACTTCGTGGTGGTATGCAGATTTTTGTGAAGACCCTTACCGGCAAGACAATTACTTTGGAGGTAGAGAGCTCAGACACCATAGACAATGTGAAGGCCAAGATACAGGACAAAGAGGGCATTCCACCAGATCAGCAAAGGTTGATTTTTGCTGGAAAGCAGCTCGAAGATGGCCGAACCCTGGCTGATTACAACATCCAGAAGGAGTCAACTCTTCATCTTGTTTTGAGACTTCGCGGTGGTATGCAGATTTTTGTGAAAACCCTTACTGGCAAGACAATTACGTTGGAGGTAGAGAGCTCAGACACAATTGACAATGTGAAGGCCAAGATACAGGACAAGGAGGGTATCCCTCCAGACCAGCAGAGGTTGATTTTTGCTGGAAAGCAGCTTGAAGATGGCCGAACTTTGGCTGATTACAACATTCAGAAAGAGTCCACCCTTCACCTTGTCCTTCGTCTGAGGGGAGGTATGCAGATCTTTGTGAAGACTTTGACCGGAAAGACCATTACCTTGGAGGTAGAAAGTTCAGACACAATTGATAACGTGAAGACAAAAATACAGGACAAGGAGGGAATCCCACCAGATCAGCAGAGATTGATCTTTGCTGGGAAGCAATTGGAGGATGGAAGGACTCTTGCTGACTACAACATTCAGAAGGAGTCTACTCTTCACCTTGTTTTGCGCCTTCGCGGTGGATTTTAAGTATGTAATTGATATTGGGTCCGAAATGGCCCTGGAAAACTATTGTTTGTGATGTGGTTTCTGTATGTTTCTGCTCTAGTTTCTCTTAATGAATGTGAACAATTTGTTGGTTTATATGAGATTCCACAAGTTACATGCAATTTCTTAATGCTACGTTTGAAATTGGTGATGAGATTGAGAATGTATTATCTAGGCAGCTGACACACTCTTTTCAGGTAAGAGAAATATGTGTCACATCTGTAGTGCTGAATTTGGTTTTATGGTTTTTACTGATAGACAATTGAGGATGCAAGTTTCATGTTAGAGAGGTAACCTTTCTCTTTATTAAAATAAAACTTAAACTTCAATCACAACAAGGCAAACTTAGAACTGATTTATTATCCTTGTTTGGAGGATGGATGATTTACACCTTCATGCAAAGCAGGGAGGACTTTTTCCGCTAGTCTTTGCATTTACTCTTGAAGCCATTCGACAGGTTTATTTTTTCTAGTCCTAAGTTCCAAATATAATAACCATTTTCTAGTCTAAGTTATCAACTGTAATAACCATTTTCTAGTTCTTAGTTACCAAATGTAATACGAGTGTATCATTTATCAATGGGATTTTCTTTTTATGTATTTGTGAACAAGAGCACCATCTTACCAAACTATATTTATCCCAAGCAACATATGAAGACATGTGAAGATACAATGGCATGAGCAAGAGTGAGAGTATAGCATTATGGAAATGGCTAGGTCAAACTGGTCGTATGCCACGTTAAAAAGTTGCCACAACTCCCCTCCCCCTTATTCATCTTCTAGCCAATTATTAAGCACGGTCAGAATGTGGAGTCTTCATATGCCAAAAGAAGTATTTTTGGGAAATATGACTTTCAAATGCAAGATGGCAAACGCAACAATACTCTAATAAACGCAAAAGCAATTATTACTAATATGCTTATCATTATTGCATAGGCCTAGTTAGTATGCACACTTTGAAGAATCGTGCATTTGAAATATTCCACCCACTTGGAGGTTGTAAATTAAGTAAAACATTAATCATAGAAGGACTATATTTGATATATTTATCTCGGACATAAAAAGTGAAGTCATTGTGAGGATGAAAAGCGCCATTAGAAAAAATTTCAATACAATAGATTTGTTGTTGTCTTGAGTCAAGTTGTTAAATCTCATCACTGCTCTTCCAACATTTCCACCAACGCTTCAAACCCCACCAAATTTTGACGATCAAATGCTCTCTCGCACACCACTTTGTAATTCACTACTTTAAGATACTTGTTGGCATGAGCTTGCAAGAGACGCTGGTAATGGAAATATCGGTTCATCTTGAGCTGGGGTGCAGTTGATGTTGCACGAGAAACACAATTTCTCTTTGGTGCCATTTCTCTGAACAAAAGGACAATGGGTGTAATGCAAATAAATTAGAAATGAAAGTGATATTGAGAGAGCTTAGGAGTAGAAGGAGTGTTGCCAATGTTGTGGTACTGAAAAGTTGCTTCAGATGGCCTTTTTACAGGCACTTTTTACAGACCAATCACGACCACTTTGTATATATCGCGATCGCAATACATAACTGTTTGATCCAAGAGTCTGATTTTTCAAAGTCTCTCCGTACAACGTCTCTATCAGGATCACGATGAGTTTATTGGGATCGCAATGTAGCTGTATCGCGACCACTATGTGCCCAAAATCCTCTTCTTTTCTTCAAATTATTTCTATTCTCTCATTTTTCCTCTTTTTCTCTTTCTAACACCACTTCTTCAAACAATATGCTACAAAACAGAAAACGATTAACTGAAATAACATAAAAAAGAATGTTAAAATTTGTTATATATTATGATTTATAAATAAAATTTGTTTTATATTAAAAATAAATTAAAAAAGAATGTGCGACTTTAATAATAAATAGATCATAAATTTGAACCTATGCCCTAAACAAATTTTCTTCACGTTTGAAAATATTTAAAGAATGTCTCAAAATTTAAAAGATTTCAAAACAATCTCTTCTACAATTGCAGTAAAGAATGTATTATTTGTAGTAAAAGTTAAAAACATCTTCTTCCCGTTTCCGACTCTGTTTCAAATTGATAGCTCATGCAAAACCAAGTCTCTTTGTAGTTCCAAACATATCTGTTACCCTGTCAATTGTCTAACATCAACCGCCTAACACATCTAAATTCCAGCTGGTGAGATATGTCTCTTTTGTTGTGCCCCTTAGAAAAATCTTCTAAATTGATCATTCCATGCTCACAAGATGTCTCTATGACCTTTCTCTCTCATGTTAAATCAAGTAAATGTCAAGTATGATCTCAAAGTAAATCTCATCAAGCAATGCAAGTAGAATATAATGCATTTATAAAAATAAAAAAAATTTGGACACAGCCATCTCATAGAAAACAAGTTGAGTGTAAATAAGCGTTCAAAGAGAAAGAAAACTCAGATGGGGCTATCAACGAATACAAAGCAAGACTAATAGCCAAATGCTACCACAAACCGTTTGACTTTGACTTCAATAAAATGGTCTCTCCAATGGATGCCTACAAGAAGAAATTTACATGTCACAACCATGTAAGAGGTGTGATCATTCACGAGCTTGACTACAAGATGTAATGTAACTCAATTTTTGATGAAATGAGAATGAATTTTTTACGGTGGCTAACCATAGACAAAAATCTGAATTTTTCTATGCAGAACTACGCTTGATTCTTTATCTAGGAGCAAGATTAAAATGTTGTAAAAATAAGTAGGCATTGAAAAACAAATTATTTATTTATTAACATTAAAATTACATCTTCTTAGATCTCTTACACGCAAATCACAAAAACGTAACTAACACAACCAAGACAAGCATGTTATGTGCGAGTTCAACCAGAGATTTCAATGGACTTTACATCAGGCTTCTTAACTTGTTCTTCTTTTGGAATGGTGACAGTTAGAATACCATTCTCAATGGAAGCTTTCACTTCTTCAATTTTTGCATTCTCAGGCAATCTGAATCTCCTCATGAATTTTCCACTGCTGCGTTCAACCCGATGCCATTGATCGTTCTTATCTTCTTTCTCAACGTTCCTCTCTCCGCTTATCTGAAGGACTCTGTCATCTTCAATCTCAACCTTCACTTCCTCCTTCTTCAGCCCAGGAAGATCAGCCTTGAACACGTGTGCTTCTGGTGTCTCCTTCCAGTCCACTCGTGTGCTCACAAAAGCAGAATTCTCCTGAGGGAATGAAGCAGAAAGTGGAAAATCCCAAACATCGAGGGAGAATGGATCGTATACGTTGCTCCTTCGGCCGCCAAAGAAACTTGGAACCAAAGACATTTTTGTTATAGTTGAGAACTCTGAAAAGTGAGAATTCAATGCGAATATATATCGATACTACTTGGTGTGAATCACATTCTCTAAAGTCCTTGTGATATTTAAAGAAATGGAAGAGTAGTGTTGTATGTTGGAGAAACTTCTGTTTATTGATTTGATTTTACCACTGTCTTGAAAATTCTGAAACATTCTAGACAGATATAGAATTTACTTTAGATATTGTTTTAAAAGCGTTCAGCAGTATATAGGCTCGGTTTTTCTTTCCAAAAGAAAATAGAGTTGGGCTTTGTAGCCCGGAGTATTGGGCTGTAAGCCTTGTAACTGGAATTACAATTTTTGAGTAATTGAGGAATCAACATGTCACCTCCACGTAACCGTACTCCACTAGTCCACTCCTGCATTAAAATCCAAAGATGTGAAGGGTAGTTTTCCTAAAATTTATGCTATGTCATGACTCCTTCACAAAAGTTTTCACATGTCACACTTGCACAACCTTCAGCGAATAGGTGAAGTGTTAGGGCTACAAATAGAAATAAGGCAAATTCTTATTTACCCAATTTAAAGAGTTGGATAAAATTACACATAAAGTAGAGTGCATTGAAAATTTTCAAAATTTTAACTATTAAATAAAAAATGAAATGTCATTAATTGATTGGTGGAATATACAATATTCATCTATGGGTTGAGAAGTTCTTCCCTAAAATTAATGGTAATCTCAATGTTAGTTTTTTTTACATGTGGCAGTCGTTTTACTTCTTTTTATCTTGTCACGTGATTTACTTAATGATAAATGACTTATCTTAATTAACTTAGAATATGATATGATGAAGAACAAATTAGAGATGAAATATAAAGATTAAAGATATAATTATTTGGAAATAGTAAAAACACATTTATCTCAATTAGTCATTTTGCTCTTAGCTTTTATTTTGATTCATAGAAGTCCAAACTTTCTCAACAAAAATGAGTGAAATTTCTTAATGCACCTTATGTATTACAAAAGCACCACATGAAAATACAAAAATACTTCTAGGTTCTGAAGATGCACCTCTGAACACATCCTAAGTCAATAGAAGTTTGACTTAATATTAAAAAATTACGGAGATGCATCTTCGTAAACATTACGGAGATGCATCACCAAACACTGCTTATACAACGCTAGAACCCTTTATTCTTTCTTAATTGTTAAAAAATCAAAGTTTTCTATAAAACTCTCTTAAAATCATTCAAGCAACTCTAAAACTTCTTCAATCATCATCAAACGACATCAAAGATCTCATTCAACTACATCAATTTCAAAGATTCTTCACTTCTTGTAAGTTTTTTATTATTGTAATTTTTTTTTAGTTTTTGTATAAAGTTTTAGAAGTTGATGATTAGGTATTGAAATACATAGTTTGTGCATGTTTGATAGTTGATACATTATGAGAAATGTGTTTCATGGTTAAAAATAACGATCAATGCATTATTTTTAGGGGTTTGGTGGTCTGAATTAGCGCCATTGATAAAACTGAAAGTTATAGAAAATTCCAAAGATATATCTCTGTAATTTTCAACGTTTGGATTCTCAAGAACTGAAGATGCATCTTCCCATAGGCGACATGTTTCACCTATTTAGGCGACAAAGGTACGCGAGTCACCGGAGGTACATGAGGCACCAGCTCCACCCCAGGCACCGGAGGGACCTCAGGCTGATGAGCCAATGCAACCTCAAGATGATGAGAATGATGAGCCAATTTCACCTCAGTATTTGGAGGAGGTCCATTAGAGTTGTCACAATTGCCTCTTTACCCAGACCATACGGCCAGACATATCTAGGACAAAGAGGTAAAATTAGTTAAATTCATTCTTTTAAAGTTATGTTTATCATTATATTACAAGTTTTTGACGATGATTTATTTTTCTGCAAAACCGTGATCAGCTGAAATTCATTAACCATGGGCGGAAGGTTATGGCTTGTATCAGCCTAACGATAAATGGTTTCAAGTTGTTTTGTCCCTATCTAGGATGAAGGACTTATGCAAGACCGAATATGTTACAACGAACCACGTGATGCTTAATGCATTTGTGGAGAGATGGCATACTGAGATCTCATCATCTCGGGTACCACTTGGTGAAATGTCTGTCACACTCGATGATATGTCGTGTCCACTACATCTTCCAATTAGGGGAAAATTTTAGATAATGGGATGATTAACAAATATGAGGAATTTGAGTTGATGGTAGACTATCTGGGAGTTGACGTTAAGGCTGTCATGAAGGAGTTGGAAAAAACTAGAGGGACTCATGCTAGGTTTGAATTCTTGAAAAAGGTATATACAAATGAGCTGTTTAGAATAGAGCAGGCTAGAAGTGATGAGGAGCAGGTGGGGCAGTAAAATGTACTTTTCATAAGAATTTTAGAGAATCAAAGGAATATTGACACAATCCCCGACAACAGCGCCAAAACATTATTGTGATATTTATATGTGCAAGTATACACAGTCAAATAGTAGCAAGTGATATAAAATTAAGAGTTCCGCTTCCATAAAGATTGTAATATATTAAGTTGATTCTCTATATAAAACTTTGTGAATAGCCATGAGAAAAATATAACAATAGTAGTTGGTTGTCATAGATTTAGGTTGAGTTGTAATTTATAAGAGTGAAAAAGGTAATTCAATAGTGAGAGGAATGTTGGGCAATGATCCATTTAGTGAGTTTTTAAATCTCGTATGTTGCTGATAAGATTTGTCATGACAAATGAGGCAGAAAGTGATTTAATGGTGTATGTCTACAACATCAAAACACATGCATTAATTTAGGGGAACAAATCTCTAGGTATCACAATAAAGTTAAAGCATGTCTTGTTTAACCTCTGGTTTTTCATATGGTTGTAGTCCTTTATGTCTAAAGTGATTAATCAAGTGAATATGTTTATCCTACTATTTTCAACCATATTTACCATGAAATTTACTACTTTATAGATCTCTCAATCATTAGCCAAATTTTACCTATTTCTAAGGTGATCAAGCAGAGAAATAGATTTGTATTATTATTTCACATGATAAAAAGTATCACTTCAAATCACACCATAACAAATAGTATTACTTTTCATTAAACTTAAAAGTTCTCTACATAAAGAGTTTATCTCATGATGAGCAAAAGAAATACAATAACACAAGTTTTAATGTTAACATTTCTATACACAAATGAAAATAAAATGAAAACCTAAGTGTAACACTTCTAATCCTTACAATCTTTCAATCAGTAGGAGACGAGTTTTGTCACGTCTGACAGATCATCACTTCTTCAAGAGAGAAAGGATGAAATGATCTAGTCATTTTTGTTTCAAAATTCTCCTTCTCTTAACGAGATATTTTTCTATGTTATTTCTCAATTCTCTCAATTTTTTAACCTTTATCTCATTTCTTCAAGGTGGTCCTTTTATATCCCATAATTCTCAGGGTTTCCTTTGAGCATTGGAATATGGACCTTGTGATTATTCATTGCTATGACCCATGAAAATTAGCATATTTCTTCTCCTTATCATCTCGTACTAGTACTAGATAGTATAATTCATCGTGCAGGGGACAACACGTCCCGCGGCAGGCCTACTGCACAGGCAGACAAACAACGTGTAAACTTTAGCATCCAACATATTTTATAGGTTTTGTCCTATAGTGTTTGAACTTATCCATCCAAATTTCTAACTTAACTAGTGCTTCCTTCTTCAGACTTATGCTACATTTTCCCTAATATTGAGAGCCTTCACTTCTTACAACATCTTATTGCTCTAAGGACTACTAACAAATGAGGTTAAATTGCATCTGCCTTCCTGCCATGCGACACTTATCACCATCCAAGTCCTATACAAGTAAAAAGCACATAAAACTCACAAAAGAAATCCCCTAGTGCGGTCTATGCTAATAAAACTATAAACAATGATGTTGGAACAAAATTGTTCATATCCCTTGGGTTTTGATGATAACAAAATACTTAAAGAAAAATTGGGTATACTAGCATATATTCAAGCGTGTAGGATCATAGGCTTAAAATTAAACTCTGGATTAACCCAAATAAAAGCATATGTAGAAAAGCAGAATGACTCAGATTTTGAAGGATCAGAATCTGATAACTCAGAACATGAATATCAACTTCTAAAGGATCAAAATATGGTCATGGTATCCCTGCCTTCGGTGAGAACTCAGACTCTGAAGACCTAAGTAAAGGTGCTTAGCCTCTAATCCGTACCCTATCTAAAAAGCATGACAGTCCTGTCAATAGCCAAATTTTGGAGAATGTCAACCAGGGTTTCATTGTGCAAGGATTAAGGAAAGGTGATGTGACATCTTAAGTCTTCCTCAACCTTTTGGTAGATGCCTAGTATGAGAAAGACGATATGGACAATGCTATTACTCAACAGATAATGATCTTAACCAGTTTCATTGTCCAATGTCTCTCTTGGTGGCGTACTGATGCAGAATGGTCAGGTTGTTGCTTATGCTTCCAGACAACTGAAAGTTCATAAAAGGAATTATCCTACGCATGACTTAGAGTTGGATGTGGTGGTGTTTGTGTTGAAGGTTTGGAGACATTATCTTTTTGGGACTAGGTTCGAAGTGTTCAGTGATCACAAGAGCTTGAAGTATTTGTTTGGTCAGAAAGAGTTGGACATGAGACAGAGAAGATGGCTTGAACTTCTGAAGGATTATGATTTTGAATTGAGTTACCATCCTGGTAAGGCTAATGTTGTGGCTGATGCATTGAGTAGGAAGTCCTTACATATGTCAATGCTTATGGTTCGAGAGTTAGGACTGATTGAGAAATTCAAAGATATGAGTTTGGTTTGTGAAGAGACTCATAACAGTGTGAAGTTGGGTATGCTGAAGTTGACCAGTAGTATTCTCCAAGAAATCAGAGAAGGTCAAAAATCTGATTTAAGTTTGGTGGATTGTCTCACGTTAATCAATCAAAGTAAAGGGGGTGATTTTCGGATCGATGAGAATGGTGTGATGAGGTTT